GTTACATATATAATATATATAATCCTTTTTTTTTGGAAGTTTTCATTTTAGAGCGCGACGGTTGTGTAATAGAAAATTTCAAAAACAGTGTTGTGCCTAGTCATTTAAATTTATCTAAATTTTATGTAAATGTACTATTTTAGAGGACTGCTGTTATGGCCGGGCATACTTCCACTGAAATAAAGGAGGCAGCTTCGAAATTCGTATCATTCCTGAATAGAGCAGTTACTCCATTTCACGGTACTTATGGTTTATAACTTCCTGAATGAGTCGAAGAGTTTTGGCTTTAAATAATTTCTCATTTTTCTTGGTGCGTTAAGATTTTTCTCCCTCCCAGGGGTAGTAAATGTGTTTTGCCTTGAGTATAAGTCATTAAGCATGAGGTGTAATGGTTTTCTGTGTTCTCTGCGATGTTTTTTGATGAAATTCAGTTTGCTTTTAGACTACTTTTTCACATATGAACGAAAACCTTTAAAGTCAATTCTGAAGCGTAATGGGAACCTGACATATTTTTTAAGCAGTATCACGTTTTTTATTTTCTGGACTATACACTTCTCGTAAAGTCACCTAAATTGGGTATCAAACACGTATCGTCTCCTTTCCCCAGCGGTATGGCTAAGCTGCATTGAGGTTAAGTTCTATTCATCTGTGTACACCGTCTACTCCTCAAACTTTTGTTATGGGTGTTATAATAAACCCTTTTCATAGCTGTGGATATTCTGTCTGTTCGTTTAAAAGCGGAGGGTTTTGTGCAACTGAAAGAAAATGAACACTGGAACATCGAGTGCAACGGGAAGTACTTCGTCACTAGGTATCTGTTTGTTTTCTCCTGCATTGTTTGCTTTTATAAGTAGTATTACTTTCGTTGGCTTTATTCGTGCTTCTGCCGACTCTTTTATAGGAATGACAGCGCTCTTTTCGCATTTGCTGTTGGCGGCAAGTACGTACCCGGACATGGATTTACGATGACAGCAGCTCATACAGATAGTCCATCGCTGCGTGTTAAACCGATCTCAAAGATTTCAAACGAGAACTGCGCACAAGTCTAAATATTAAAGCTTTTGCTGCTTCTTTTTCCTTTCTTGCCATTTTCCCCCCACTTTTTCGAATGA